GAGGGGGAGACCGAGACCGAGACGGAGGGGGAGACCGAGACGTAGAACGAGACCGAGAAGGAGGGGGAGACCGAGATGGAGGGAGGGGGGCAACTGGAGGAGGGGGGAGGAGACCAGGGGAGGGGGTGGCGGCAGCAGAGACTGAGACGAAAGGAAAGCGATCTGCCTGCCTCAGCCCCCAAAATGCTGGGATTACAGGTGTCAACCACCACACCTGGCCCTTATGAGGAAATTTTAAAACGTGCACTTGCACCAAGTTCTTAGTTCCAGTGCCTCTGATTCGTAGGTCAGGAGAGGGTAGGTTCTTAGGCAGTTTAGTATGGCTTTATAACTTGTACTTTTATTTGTGCACATAATCATCTTATGAATCCCACCCCTCCTCTCCCCTTCCTTCCCCTTCCCTTTCCTTCCTGGGAGGCAGAGGTTGTAGTGTGCAGAAATTGCGCCATTACACTCCAACCTGGGTAACAGAAAGAAAATACCGTAAATAAAAGAAAATAAATAAAATTTTCTCATGCAATTCTATGCTTAGCCAACACTGAAAGCCATGAATATAGTTAACAACACAGCTGACTAAATGTCTTGTTTCAGGTTATCACATATCCATGAGACAACTGTTAATATAAGCCACAGAACATATATCCTCGTTTGAAAAATTACTGGTCACAATTGAAGTTGGTGGCACCAGCACAATTCAAAATGAAGAACACTGTGCTCCAGGAGTCAGAGGCCTGGCACTGACCTCACTACGGCTACTTACTGTGCCACACCAGACAAGTCAGCTTGCTGAATATTTGTTTCATTTATAAGAATGAGAAAATAATATTTGTTCTGCTTTCCTCTTATCTATATAAATGAAAGTACAAGTTATAAAGCCATATTAAACTACAGGAGAGACACTACAGTTCGTCAGAATTAGTTCATTCCTTGGAATTACTGCAAATGATAGAGACAGATCCAAATGCTGATTTTCAGAATCAAAACCAAGACCTCTCCTTTATTCAACTACCCAACTAACTAAAAACCACCTGTCTTTTGGTTAGATGAGAAAAGAGGAGGGCAGTTCTGCCTGTGTTACTGAAAACAGAGGCTTTTCTTTTCTATTTTCTGCCTTCAACTCTCTCCAAGCTCAGCTCTTACCACAGCAAGAAAAAAACAAAAGTCAAGTAACTCAATTTCTTTTCTTTCTTTTTTTTTGAGACAGAGTTTGGCTCTGTTGCCCAGGCAGGAGGGCAATGCTGTGATCTCAACTCACTGCAACCTCCACCTCCCAGATTCAGGCGATTCTCCTGCCTCAGCCTACTCAGTACCTGTGGCTATAGATGCACGCCACCATATCTGACTAATTTTGTGTTTTTAGTAGAGATGGGCTTTCACCATGTTGGCCAGGCTGATCTCAAACTCCTAACCTCAGGTGATTCACCTGCCTTGGCCTCCCAAAGTGTTGGGATTACAGAAGTGAGCCGTTGCACCCCGCCAAATAACTCAATTTCTAGGGAGCTAGTCCATTTTCCTCCTTAAAAAAAAAAAAGAGGAAATGCAAACCTCAGCCACAGTGCTGCGAATGCGATCCACCACCTGTTCAAAGTCCACCAAGCTGAAGAGTGGCTGCTGCTTGAGACGGTGCAGCTCTGCAGCAAAAGTGTCCTCCTGGTTTTTCAAAATGGATCCTGCAAAATAGGAAGGCACCGTCAAAAGAAGACAGAGAGCACCCAGGACAGACAGGGTTTTCTGGAGAGGGCTAATCTTGGTGGGGCAGCAACTTCACCTGCTTCTTAGACAAACATGATTCTGCTACAATCTCAGGACAGGAATATTACCAGCCACTTTCTATGACCAGGCATACTATATGGGGCCACATAGTATTAAGGCAGAAGAACGTTTGAGGATGGGGTACATTGGACAAGGAGCTTTTTACCTTTTCTAGTCAAGTTCACATTTTGATTCTCAAACATCTGGACAGATTCTCCAACAAACAGGATTTTTTCGGCAACCCTCACTGGAATGTAGGATGGCAAAATCTCCACTCGCAGGGAAAACTGCTTCAGAGATGGTGCCAGCATGTTCTCTTCCTCTATCAGGCGCTAGTCAAGGAAAGAGTGCACACTGAGATGCAGTATGAGAAAGAAAAAAAAAAAAAAAGAAAATATCTAGGAATTCTCCCAACCCATCATTTAAAGTAAAGATGCAGGGACTTAAAATCTGGTGTTCCATAGTTCTCAAATGACCAGTTTTGGAGAGATATATTTCATCTTCAGGCAGCAGAGTGGCATAGTGGAAATAAGAGTGGCTTTTTAAATACTGGGATTGGGCCCTCACTCTACCTTTACTATTGCATAAAAACTTGCACAGTCGAGGATCCAAGATGGCCGACCAGGAACAGCTCAGGATTGCAGCTCCCAGTGAAAGCAGACAGGGTGAGTGGATGCCACATTTCCAGACGGATTTTTATTGCCCACAGACCAGGAGATTCCCGGGCAGAGGAGCCCCATGGGTTGCCAGCGCGGCTGCTTTGCCAGCGCCCTGGCACAGCGGTTCTCCGTACAAAATACACTGGTCCAGGTGCCCTTTTAGCTGGCGATTGAGGCCCCGGGAAGGCAGATCACCCATTCATCTGATTTAAAAGGGGACTGAAACAGGGAGCCAGGCCAGGAGATTCCCGGGCAAAAAAAACCTCCATGAATCTCAGCGCCGCTGTTTCAGCCGGCACAGTGAGTTGCCTCACAGGAAATCACACAGATCCTGGCGCCTTTTCAACAGGCGACTGGAACACCTGGGAGAGAGTCAACTGTTCAACTAAAAAAAAAAA